AGCGACTATGGACGTCAGTCTTCGGAATGGCTCCTGAAGCGCGTCCAGGACACGCTTGGCGAAGTTGGAAATGCTAAGCCTTTCAAACATTCTTGGGGCCAGAACTCCATCATCGCAACCATCCCGGGCAAAAGTGCCAAGACGATCATCATTGGTGCGCACCAGGACAGCATCAACCTCGACGGACCAATGGACCTGCGTGCTCCCGGAGCCGATGATGATGGCTCTGGCACGGTAACTACTCTCGAAGCTCTGCGTGTTTTGCTTACGGACGATGGCATTCGAAGTGGCCAGGCTGAGAACACGATTGAGTTCCACTGGTACTCTGCCGAGGAAGGCGGTCTTCTTGGCAGCAGTGACGTCTTCAAGGCTTACCAGTCCCAAGGTCGTGATGTCAAGGCAATGTTTCAACAGGACATGACTGGCTACAACCAAGGCACTCTCGATGCTGGCAAGCCCGACTCCCTGGGCGTCATCACCGACTACGTCGACTCTGGCCTCACCGACTTTATCAAAAAGGTTGTCAATTCGTACTGCACCATCCCTTATGTGGAAACAGAGTGCGGTTATGCTTGCTCAGATCATGCATCAGCCAACAAAGCCGGATATCCCAGCGCCTTTGTGATTGAGTCGGATATGAAGCTTACCTCTACGTATATCCACAGCGAGCGCGACACCATTGACCGCTTGGATTTTGATCATATGATACAGCACGGTAGACTGACGTTGGGTCTGGCCTATGAGCTGGCACATGCTAAGCTCTGATCTACTCATGTAGTTGCTCTAAATTACTAGTTAGGTTTTTTTTATCATCCCATCTCCAAATCATCAGTGCGCCAAGATTCTCTTCGCGGAAAAATGCCGCTGCAAGCTCGTCCACTTCCGACGTTGCATCATCAATCTCTCAATGGACAAGTTACCTCCTCCATTCTCGTCTACTACCTCGGAAGATACCGTGCTCATCTCTCAAGGCGCCGAGGCCCTGATCTTCCGCACGCCTTTCCTCGACACTTTGGCTGCACTCAAAGTGCGCAGCCCCAAGAAATGGAGGCATCCGACACTTGATATGAGGCTGACACGCTCAAGGGTGTTGGCCGAAATGAGGGTGCTGGTTAAACTGGCTGGGGGCGTACAGATGGGTGCAAAGGGCAAGAAGAATCCCGGACCGACGGTGCCGAAGGTGCGGGTCCCAGTAGTCCTGGGGGCGGATTGGGAGAGCGGATGGTTGGCTCTCGAGTGGATTCCGGGAAAGAGCCTGAAGCAGACACTCTGGGACGTACATCCCGCGGAAAAGGAGCGACGCGTGGAGGAATTACTGCGCCAGCTGGGCGTGTTGGTGGGGAGGCTGCACGCCGCCGGTGTTATTCACGGCGATCTTACGAGCAGCAACGTCATGGTCAGTGAAGACCCGCATAGCGCTCTCGAGCCGGCCAAGGCCGATGAACTTGTCTTGATCGACTTTGGCCTGGCTACGAACTCGGTCCAAGACGAGGATCGCGCCGTGGATCTGTACGTGCTGGAGCGGGCCTTTGGGTCTACGCATCCGCTGCTCGAGTATCGCTTCCAGACGGTACTGGATGAATACGTGGCTGTTTTAGGCTCCAATGCCAAGTCGGTATTGAGGAAGCTAGCGGACGTGAGAATGAGAGGGAGGAAGAAGACTATGATTGGCTGATTATCCGTTCTACGACACGCTTAGCTGGCGGCCCACCCACTGCTCTATGACGGCAGTGCCCTCTGCCTTTTCGCCTCGGGTTCCGTATCCAAGCGCCTTGTCCATGATAAAGGCCTCGTGCGCCGCCATTGGTTCTTCGACAAATTCCAGCTTGTCGCCAATGACACCCTTCAGTACCTTGGCCAAGTCACAGATCGAATCAATCAGCAATTCACCGCCACCGCCCCACAGAAGAACCCTGTCGGTTAGTACGGGAAGGTTGGCGAACCACTCCGGCGGAGCCTTCAAGGCCTCACAGTATGGGTCTGATGCATGAGGCCCAAGGAACATTGCACTCCATCTGTGCGCTACTCCCGTCCCGATCAGATCGCTGCCCTTGTTGCGCACCACGCTGGCATCAGTTGTGGCAAACCTGCACCATGGACTTAGCAAGATTACACCCGCCAGAGGCATGGAGAGCGACACGTGCGGTATGCTTGTGTCGGGGTGTGGATGCAACATGTGTGAAATGATGGCCATGGTAAGGTTGCCGCCAGCCGAATCGCCTCCAATAACGAGCTGCAGGGTCATGTTAGATGGACATGGCGGCAATCAGATACGCTTACATCTCTTGGGCTCTTGAACCCGAGCACATGGTTCAATGATTCTGCTGCCTCACGGAGTTGCGTAGGATATGGCGCCAGCGTTGAGCGGGTATATCCCAGGACAGCGACGCTGACATCATGACCACTTCGCCTCAGCAGATTCTGCAGTTCAAAGAGCCATGTCCAATGAGCCATGGAGCAGCCACGGGCATATCCCCCGCCATGAAAGTAAAGAATCGTTTTTGCAGCCGACTTGGGGCCGAGCCAATGCAGCTTTGTGCCGGTTGAAGATATGACCTCGGTGTCCGGCTGGAATCCCTGTTTCTCGCAGAATTCGAGATATATTTTCTCGGTGGGCGGGTTAACAAACGATAGCCTCTCCTGCGCAGCAGTGACGCTGTTCAGCAATGTCCGGATCGCCGTGTAGCCAACATCTCTGTAGATGTCCGGCGCACGTGAGCCGCTGCGGAAAGGCGCTGATAGCAGGCGAAGCAATACCGCGACCAGGACTTTTGCAATGGCCGGGATCAGCGACAAGGTGACGAGAAGATCCGACATTGTTCAGCTCTTGGTCGGTGGAACGATTGCGCCCCGAGATGTCGCTTACCCCGCACTCAGTGGCTTGACATGTGTGTGCCAAGACCGGCATACCGTTCAAAGTCCTGAAGGTCACAATCTACCGTCGGAAGCTGTAGGGATCGGCATCGGCATCGGAATCTACCTATAAATTAGGTTGCCATCCAACATGCAAATTAACAATGCTACCTCGTTACTTGGTTCTACCCTTAAAGTCGTTTGGACCCAGCGTCCTCATCACGATCTGCACCTTGTCCGGGTTAACGCTCTCGCTCTCCATTCCATCTTCTCCCGTAGGACTTATGCCCACTGCCATGACCGTTCCGTCTGGTGTGAAACACATGCTCGTCACGCCAGCTGCAAGGCGAGAGTAATTCTTGATCCTCCTCTTCGTATTCGCATCCCATGACGCCACAACGCCGTCACCGCCGCCCGTCGCAAACGTCCCAAGTGATGGATGGAAGACGATTGCGTTGACGGGATACACGAGATCCACTTCTTCAGTATCTACGCCATTGCTCGAGGGTAGGGACTCGGTTTGTCGATGACACTTGAAGGCGTATGCGTCGGACTGATGACCCTCGTCAAACCAGTCCACAGCAACGCGGCCCTCAATACTACTAGTCACGAACCCCGTTCCATTTGGCATGGCAGCGATGGCTCGCGTCATGAATTTTAGCGAGCTCTCCCTCCTCTGCCAAGGCTGGGGGTCGGCAGTCCTGCCATCTACCGCATCGCGCAATGACTGTATCGTATAGATGCTCACCTTTCTCTCTGCCATGGCCACGACACATTTATCCTCCGTCAGAGCAAGGCCAAAGGGCTTTGTCGTGAGGGCGACCTTCGCCACTTGCCCCGTTTCAAGGTCGTGGATGTGCATCGTCCCATCCCAAGCGGTGCTTATCAGCAGCCCATGTGCTGCACTGTAGGCAATCTTGTTGCTCGCTTTCTCGTGGGTCGAAAGAACAGATTGCTCGTCATTATCAAGATTTAGCGAGCGGACATCGCGGTCGAGGCCGACAAAGTAGATTAGATTGTCCGAATCACCAAAACAAAGGTCCAGGATCGGTGCGCGCGTCGGATGGGCGGCCGAAGGCGTCCAGGAACCGTCCGTTAGGATATAAGTGTGGATTTTGCAGTCCCATGAGCCTACGGCAAGGAGCGACCCGGAAGGGCAGAAGTGGAGCGAAGAAATCACATCGGTTGGCGGCGACGGTAGGGTTGTTGTCATATTTGCGAAGCGCAGGAGGTGAAGTGCGGATGGCGGGCATGAAGTGGGTCCGCGGGCGTCGAGTGGGGGCTGCGAGCCCGTTTGACAGGGCGGGGTTGTAGGGAAGCATAAAATTAGCAGCTGCACAGGTCAGATGGATGTAGTCGTCACCAAGTACTGGTATAGCAAGTAGAGTCGCGCGTAAAAGATCAAGAGCTACAACCTCGGTTTTCCTTCACCCATCAATCTCTCCAAGCCCCTCCTTACTACAGGATCCAGCCCCTCGTCCGGTGGCCTCTTGTCAGTTTTCCTAACCCAAATCTGCACAAAGCCTCCGACAGCCTTGACTTTCTCTTCTCCCTCGGCAAAGAATCCACACTCGTACGTTACAGAGTTCTTGCCCAGCTTTACCACCCGAAGTCCAATGTTGAGCACACCAGGGTATGATAACTCCCCAAAGTAATCGCAGTAAGAATTGGCTACGAGTGCAAGGCGTGGGTATGACGAAGAAGTCTTGTAATCGCAATGAGTGAACAGATATTCGTTTACGATGCTGTCAATCAGTACCCCGTAGATGGGATTGTTCAGGTGCGAATACATGTCGTTGTCTTGCCTGGAAAGATGTAAGAGATTGTCCCATATCATATAGAATGAAAAGCCTACCATCGTGTTCGATAATCTAGATGAAATTGGTAGTCGCTTCGCTTTCGTAAACGCTTGGATGCGAGGTCCAGTCCGAGCTCGGATGACATTGTTGGTAGGACGATGAGCCGAGGTCCATTGATTTCTTTGTTATCATGTCACTTCCCTGCCTCGAAAGTTTGCTTTCTTTTGCTCTGAAAAGTTTTCAAGCGCCTAGAAGACAATTGTTAAGGACGGTTCGCAGTCAATCAGCAGCTAATAGCACAGACCACTACACTATATAATATGATTTACCTCCCCTATTATTAACAATTCCCGCGTGGCACAATTGGTCAGCGCGTGAGACTTTTAAATCGGAAGATGGGTATCTCAAGGTTAGGAGTTCGAGCCTCCTCGCGGGAGTTCTTTTTTTTTTTCGATGGACCAGCCTTGTCCCAATCGGATTTAACCACATGATTTTTGGGGTCGAAAATATTCCATTGAATCAGGGTGGAATAAAAAGAAATTCGAAAGTTGCACGAAATTTTTTCTACTGAAGCTTGGCCGTACTTCGTTAAATCTCCTTTAAATTATGCCGGTACATCCCTTTATTCGGAAATTCAGGCCTCCCTCCCCATGGCTTGAAGTACTTGTTTGGTTCAAAAAATCCTGAGGCAATATTAGTTTCCGTCGTATCTTGGCACGCACGTCCAATAAGACCTTTAGTCATGCACTGTGGTGGGTGTTTCATGGAATGTGTACGGTAATGACGATAATGCAAAATGATGATCAATCCAGGTTGTCGAATAAAAAAAATGTACTTCCCTGTTGCCTGGTCCTCCATTGTCGATGGGTTCAAACGAAGGCATTCAGCACTTGTACGATTGCTTTTCTCGTGAATGGACAGCCTCATCTCCAGCATTTTAGCACACCTCGTGGTGAAATTGAAACTGTTCGCGTAACTAGCCATTCATGTCTCCTGGAGAGTAGATTTGTTTCTCCTATGTACGCCTCTGTTTGCCCCTAACACATGATTACACACCGGAGATCTGGAGTGTAACGGTCGATTGGTAGATATAAGCGACCCACGCCGAGACTGAGTTTCCTTTTTGAATACCGTATGTGTTGCATTTGATTATTCTACGATGGCCCCAGCCTTGCCGTAGGCATCCACTCTCCTTCTCCACATATCATAATCAGTAAAACATGTAACGTTTTCATCATCACAGCCAAGACCAACAAAGTGCTTAATCACATCTCCGATTTATACGGTCATAGGTCATTGGGGATGGAGGATCTTATCCACTCTCCAGGCCCCGGCGGATCAGTATCACGGCGGGTGACTACGTGAAAATCACCACTTGTGCGTGATTTTTGTTTCTGGCCCTGTAGAGTTCTTTTTTTTTTTTTTAGAAAAGGTAATTGGAGAAAAGATGAACTGTGGGAAGCTGTAGAATTAGCTGCGTAGCGCGCGACCTTGAACATATGCCAATTGGGAGACGTTAAATTAAGGACTCTGACTTAATGATACTTCGTGGCTCCATGGCTTGGATAACGAGTCATACAGATTGCCCTGCTCGCATCGGTCTTTCTCGGGCTTGATGCTGTTATCCTACATCTCATCATGAGAAGGATATGTACCTCGCTCTAGTTTTGATATGGTTCTTTTCGACAATGGTTGAAAATTTTGGTCATATTGCTGCAGAACCTTGACTAATCTCTCTATCGACGGAAGGTGATTCAGTATCTCTTTGGGATGTACTGTGGAGAAAGGTCTACCATGCTACACTATAGCCAAAAAAGATGATCTTGAAATCCGAGAGATCGGGTTAAGACGAAATGATAAGGTGACGAATGAAGTGTCGACTCGGATTTTTTGGAAGGGTAAGCTGAGGGCAGTCCTTGTTATTGAACTCCTCCAAAGACTCAAGTGATAATAGCACGTATCTAAGAAGACTGGGATCGTCCTTTTCTCCATTGTCCCAAATGTTATACGATAGGGGAAAACTTGATTAGCCGCTTCGAAGTACGCGCATGTACTGCTTTGGTACCAAGGGGCTTGTAAATTGTACTTTTTGTGTTTCTTTGATTCTTGATGCAACAATCCCCAACGAGAAGATACTTTGAACTTTTCGCTTGTCTCCATTTAGCGGACTTGGCCTCCATCGGTCTTCCAAAGCAGACCTTTTTTTATTCTAGGTAGACATAGCCTCGTGGAAGAAGCCCGAGTAGAAATGGCTGTAAATCTCGTAAAGATTTCGGACTACCGCCCAGGAGCTCTTAGACTCTTATGTAAACATATGTGCACATTATTTACACAACGTGTCACTTTATTATATCCATGGATGCTGACAGGTCCATGCCCTTGGCCCAACTGGGTTTTTCTTTAGTAAAACAGCAATAAGGATAACTTTACATCTCTACCAACTGGTATTCCCCTCCCAAGTCTTACCCAAAGCCGCAGCACCAGTAAAACCTCACAAGCTTTTCGACAAAAGCACAATGTGCACTCCCTAATTCTTTCTCGAATATTGATAGCTCTTTACAGTGCCATTGTCAGTACAGCATCTTCCCATCTTGATGGCGGTCTCCAATTTACCATACGCAGGTGAATATCAAAGATCAATAGATCGAATTCAAGCGTATGTTTGGGGTGAAAAGAAAAATCAAAACGTCTTTCTTCTGGTCTCATCCATTGACCCCTCAAACCTCGCTAACCAATACTTGGGATTAGAGGAAAGAAAATACACTTTTTCATGTCTTCCTAATTAATTTACCGGCATTGCTCGGGCGTGCTTGAAGAGCGTTCGACCTCGTCTGAGTTATCCAAAGCGTTGCAAGTTGAGTCCGGATATAGTCGGATTAAAGAGGGGTTTGATCCAAAGATCCGCTATATTCATTTTTCGCAGTACACGATAATTTCTAGAATTAGTACGTCAACTCCCGTTTTCGTGACATCAAACACTTCATTTTAGGTGACCTCACCACAGGGTTTCATACGAGCTTTTGCATCTTGCCTCGATATCCTCTGCACATCCCATTATGTGCTTGCTCGAATTTATCTGGTATGTTCAAAGCTATATCGGCATGTTCTAAAGTGCCCCTCTGACTGTTGCTCGGGAGCTTTAGCAAACTGCTTAAGTTTAGCCTGTACGGAATCCTGGCACCGTTCTCTGCGGCCCCTTTTGTTTATCGTGTGATGCTTTATCCCAGTCAGAATGTAGCAGGCTGAATCAAGCATAGCGTAGAAGACTGGCACGGAGAAACCATCTATTAGATTTTCAACTTCGACACAACTAACAGCATCAAAACTGAAAATTTGTGATCAAGGCAAGTGTTGAGAATAGGATAAAAGCTTGTTCTTAGCAGACTAGGAACGGGGTATTTTATCATGGCAAAAGCTGTCCATAAGTTGTCTTTGATGATTTTCGAGTCATCTTGTTGATTAATTTCATAATTCTAATGATATAGTAAGGTATCGCATCAAGGGCGTGTAGCTCAGTGGTAGAGCGCTCGCTTTGCACGAACTGGAAATCTGCGAGAGGTCTAGGGTTCGATCCCCTACCCGTCCATCACTTTTTGCTTTTTTTTTTTTGTGTGGTCTAATGGACCGAGGACGCCGTGCTGAAAGTTCAAGATTGGATGCATATAAAGTAAACAGAAATGACTGAGAGAATGCTGCCTGGTTCAATTAAATTCGTGGTTGGGTATCAACTACATAAAACACCCGTCAAAGACTAAACAATCCACTCTGCCTCTTCCCAAGAGGATATACCGCAATGGCGCTCAAGAATAAACCAACCGTGATCCCAATTGCGACCTGGATCACGGAGTAGCCCACAGTAAAAGCAATAGTGTTAAGTGGCGAGGCGGCTGCCATCATGGTGCTGTTGTTGGCGACTGTTGTCCCGTTCTGAGCAGTACCGGTGATTTGATCGGCCGAGGCAATGCTTGAGATCAAGGAACCGTTCACCGCGATTCCAGATGGGACTTGCACCCAGATAGCGGGGAGCATGGCCGCAGCGGCGAGGCCATATCCTACGCGACGATTGGAGACGCGAGGACGACCTTCTTCCATCCTTTTTAACGTGTAGGAAAGCGGCGAGATGCGCTCCCAAAGGTTAATCAACCTGTTCTCCATGCTAGCACCAACGCGGGAATAGAGATTCGCCATGAGACCAATGACAAGGGCGCCGATGGTGTTGGATATCTGCGTGTTACCGGTAAACTTCTTGGAGGAATAATAGTTGGCAAGATAACCGGCAATGGCAATGATTAGCATAATGGGCGCTTGCTTCCATTTGGCCTGGTTGATGATGATGAGGCAGAGAGTAAATAGAGGCACAAAAGCAAAAAAGTAAGGCTCTTTCATAGGCGACTCGCATGTTGTAGCTGATGTGGCATTGGTGTCCATGATGCCGTACAGGGTCGATCCAATGGTTATGCCAAACCCGAGGAAGAGAGAATAGATGATGGCATACACCATTCGAATGCTGCCGGCGATCATTGAACGGCTTTGCAGTTCGAGTGATGCGCAGAGCACGATGTAGCCGGGCAAGATGAGGGCGATTGAAGACTGCGACAAGGCCGCAAAGCAGAACATGTACTTCCCATTGACATCTCTGATGCTACCGAAAGCGCGAGACAGAAACGAGGTGATGACGGTGGCGGCAATCTCAAAGACGTTGGCATAGAGCTTTGATTGCGGCGACATTACAAGTTGTAGAAAACCCAAGATGCAACCGAGCACGAAGGCAACGGGAAGATCAATGATGCGAGCACCAAACGCAAAGGGACCGACGCTCATGGCCGCCAGACCAAAGACGACGATGCGGAACCAGCGGCTGTGCTTGCTCTCCCTGTTGACCACGTCCTCCAATCGAGCAATTGCAGGGTCAACAGAAATGTGTTTGTGGATAACCTGCTTGTAGATTTCGTGCACGTCGCGCAGCTTTCCCAAGTCCAGGCCCTGTTCCACGCGCACTAGCCTGACATCGGATGTGTGCGTTTTCAGATCATCAAAGGCCACAATCATCGACCCTGGGATGTACAGAAATTGTGCTTGGATGGACAGCATCCGCGCACACGTTTGCATGTTCTCTTCCAGCCTGTGCGTAGGCGCACCGAACAGCATCAGGGCACGACACAGCCGCACGAGAAACTTTTGACACGAGATTGTTTCGGCAATGTTTTGTTCAATTTGGCGAGCGTTCTTGACGCGCAACACTCGCTGCATGGTCGCCAGCGCCGTGGCACTGTAGCTGCGTTGCCGCCCTTTCTTCTCGCCATGATGCTTGAAGCGTGGACTGGACTTCTCACCAAAACTGGCTGCATTGCCTAAGAGCCCGGCCAAGGAGGACGAGGACCAGCTCTTGTTCGCAGAGGAGAACCATGTCGGGGTAGAAGCGCCGGATGCCGGAGGAGAATCAGCCGGAGTTGTGAGGCCGCTTGATCCACTAAAAATGCTATTCTGCCTGGAACGGGAATGATAAAGCCGCAGGATCCAGCCCAGGACGCCCCCGCGATACTCGGCAGGAGAAGGATATTGGTCATCAAAACCATGGAGCTCCTCGGTGGGTGTAGATGGCCCAAAGATACGCGTGGGAGACCAAGCCCCATCGGGAGTGGACAAGTGTTGGCGGATCAGTCTATGAGCCTCAGTACGCGTTCTACGCTGACGGGCCATTTCCAAGCCTTCATCGGAGTCCGAGTCGGCAGCCTTTTCATCCTCCGGCGCGATGCTATGTGAGCGGTCTGGCGACGTATTCCTTGAATTCAGCTCCGACTGCGTTCGCTCACTCGTCTCCAGTTGCTTGCCCCGTTCGTAAGCCTCACGGGCGCGGGCACGCCGGAAAGAGCGTAGGCCGTCCTCATTGTGACCATCCAGCTCGATGTCGTCAAGGCTGGGTTGAGGTCCTGGGACATTGCGGAGAGCAGGACGAGGTCGCGCCGGGAGCCTCAAAGCATCATGGATCTGCTGAGTCTCTTGAGCCGAAAGCGGAGGGACTCCTGTTGCGCTGCCGGAACGAGAGTGAATGGTACTCCGACCCAAGCCTCTCATGACATTGCTGCTCAGACTGTCTCCTCTGACCCTTCCGAATGGTGGCTGGGAAAATGAATCGGGAACTGCGGTTCCACTGGCATCATCTGAACTGAACTCAACTCGTTTCTTCTCCCGCCTTCGACCTCCAGGGGAGCCAGGGCGACTGCTGTCTCCAGTGTCCATGGCAATAGCTGCCGTCTCAGCACACAAGGACGCTGCATTTCAACTCCTAACAAGACTCATCACAAAGAGTGATAACCGCATTTGTTGAGAGAGATACGCCCCTATCACATTCACGACCGACAACAAAAGTGGGCATGAAAACTGGATCCATCAAAGGGTAGGTGAATTCACGAGTCGATTTCACACCTCAATATAGTCTTTGCCTTTGCCTTTGCCTTTGCCTCTCCGGTTACTCGGCAGGCCCGAGTGCACATGTCTGGAAAAGAGACCGATCCAACCACGACCGGATCCGCACAAGTCATGCTTTGTGACCAGTGATGATTGGCATGAAAGACAAATTCATAATTTCAACGCTATCCTAACGGATGCAGTGGCGCGGTTGTCGTTTACGACTCTCTGCGTTGAGCACGTTTAACCTCCCTGTGGTGATTTGATGCAAGGGCGGTGGCGTTTGAAATATGTGGCGCAATTCCGTCGTCGGCTTGTGAATACTTTTTTTATCGTGTATCATACGACTTTATCCCAGAACTTCTTGAAACGCCGACTGCGATTATTCTACGCAGAAAGTCAGGACAAACGGATAAGCAGAGCAACCGCCCACACGTGCTGCAACTCTAGTCATCTTCATCAAAGTCAATGTCAAACTCGGGATCGTGGCTCGGGGGAGTCCATCCCTTCTGGTCAACGGCTCGCGTGTTCCAGCGCAAAGTGCGGGATACGCTATCGAGCCACTCCAGCGGGCGTTCCATGACAGTTGGGAAGGGATATGGGCTGGCTCGCACGACAACCTCGTCGCCGTGGTGTAGAGCTACACGGCCTTTCCCGTCAAACGATACGTAGGCGCCGTCACGCCCGGTAGCGGGAACAACAACCTTTAGAGCCATGTCGTCGCTTAGCACCATGGGCCGGAACGAGAGGGTATGCGGGCATATAGGGGTGAGCAAGATGGCCGGTATGTCCGGGTGCACGAGGGAACCACCGGCCGAGAGACTGTATGCCGTTGACCCTGTTGGCGTGGATAGGATGATGCCGTCGGCGCTAATGCGCGTCAGCAGAGTCTCGTTAGTATAGAGGTCTAGCGAGGAAACATAGGACGAGGGCCCGCGATCGATGACGAGCTCGTTGAGAATCTCGTGCGTGACATCTTCCACATGGGAGCTGCCGCCGGCCACGGCTCGATAGACTGTGCAGGTGAAGCGCATGCGCATGCTGATGCGCATCCCGCTTTCGCCCATGATGCGGTCGAGGTGGTCGCGATGATGGGCAAAGTTGAAGTTGGTCAGAAAGCCCAGGGACCCAAGAGAAAAGGACATGATAGGCGGCACAATGCGTTGGAAGAGCCAGGAGGTAAATAGGACCGTGCCATCACCGCCGAGGGTAATGACGAGGTCGAACAGCTCAGGCTGTTCGAGGCACAAGGCGGGCTTCCAAAACTGCACCATGTCGACCAGCCGCGGGTCGAACGAATCGAGGTCAAAGCGACGCGACTTGCGCAGCTTGGCATCGACCCAGACGCGGACGCCGACGTCCTGGTCGTAGCGCGGCGTGGTCACCAGCCACTGCGCCAGGTCGCACGTCAGCGTCACCAGATTGTTGTCGCGCGCCTTGGTGACTATCATAATGTTCCTCACTGCTCGCTTCAGTGGCCGCCGCTGCAGGTGACGGCTGACCTCGCGCACGCTGGCTGCTGTGTGCGCCAGCCTGCTGTGACTCAGCTGGTCATCGGCCTTGATCTCGTCCAGTACGCGCGTGATGTCAACGGCGTCGCCAAAGCGGCGGTGGAAGTAGCAGGCGCCCCCGAGCGTCGGAGCCTGGCCTCGGGCGGGTTCCACCGCCAGTCCATCTGTCGCTGCTCCGTTGACGGCCCGCTGCGGCCACGGAGGGCGGAGACCGTTGGCGCCTGTCGAGAAACGGCGGACCATCTTGCCGGGCGGGCTACGGCATGCGTCTGCCTCGGGCATTTGTTGTGCTTCTGTCATTGTGTAGCGACGCTCCAAACTCCAAACCTTTACGTCAAGGCAGATCGTGGGCTGAGGTGTGAATGTCCATGCCAACCTACTCGCAACCTCCCCCGCCGTTCCGCCTCTGGGGCTTGGCGCCCCAAGCAGACATGGCCGCGAAGGTTGGGTCGGGCTGGACGGGGCACCACCAGCTGGCGTGGCTGCATGCGGGGCTCAACGCAACCGTCAACATTTCCATCACGACGCTATTCGTAGGACACGTCTCATACCGTAACTATTTAGGACTGGCGTTGATACCTCTCTTCTACTTTCTGTTAATGGCATCTTCAGTGCCGCGCTGTAGTGCCTGTATATGTTAGCGTATCCCCGGATCCAGAGCCTTGCT